TAGCTTATAAAAATATTTAAAGAACGAATATTTTTTAGCAGTGTCTATTTAGAAAAAATATTTTGCTTCTAAAAATAACCCCAGTTCTTACGAAAAAAAAATGCAACTTATAAATAAATTTTGCTGGAGAAATATATCGAGCAACTCTCTAAAATCGTCTGTTGGGAACGCACGAGAGAGTTAATAAATGCAAGCCAAACCGTGAGCACGTTTTTTGGCAAAGAATCATCACAGGAAGGCAAAATAATTCGTGGTTTAGACAGCATGATTTCGGCAGTTCGCTTCATAGAAAAACTAGGGAATTTCTTCAATCCATTCATATGATTATAATCTTTTACAGAAGAAATTTTTGAACAGCGCTTTTAAAAACCGTATGTGTTCCCATTTGCTTGTTTTTGTAAACTGCCAAAAGGAAAATCAGGAAAATTTCTTTATAAAGATAAAGAAATGTTCATATATTTGCATGAAGATTATTAGGAAGATATAGAGGGTATACACAAATGAACTGACTCATTTCAAAAATTAATTTTAAAAATCTAGAAATGTTGGAACTACGAATTTTTTAAAAATTGAGCGCATGTCTCAAAAGGTTTTTTCAGATAGGCAACATGCCATTTCGGTGGTCTAGGAAGTCGTAAATTACTGGAAATCAAAAATTTGTTTAAAGCCATTATCTGAGAAAATATTCAAACTGGAAAAAAATAAAAGCTAAAAAATAATATTTTGCGCTCTTTAATTTGTTAATTCACATGTAGTGTGAAAACTGAAGAGTTTCGTGATATTCAAGAAAAACTAAAAAAAGAAACGGTAGTCATTGCGTACGAAATTTTCTCGCTGTAACAAATTTAGAACGCCGTAACACCGCGATAACTTTTTGAGATGCGCTCTTAATTAAAAAAAAAACCCGTAGTTCCAACATTTTTAGTTTTTTAAAATTAATTTTTGAAGTGAGTCACTTCATTTGTCTACACCGTGTATTATGAAGATAAAGAAATTTCCACAATATATTCATGAAGATAAAATTATGTGATTGACGTATAACAAAGATAACCCTTGTGGTAAAATAATACTATGGGGTTGAATTACATTCAGTTCGTACCTCTCTCTGAGGGGTCGTCGCATGTGCCGCTTTTAGTGAGGGCTATAATGCATCGTTCACAGTTCTCGAATTTGCTATTCGAGGCGGCCGGGTGATTCAATTCAACGGCAGGACAGAACGCCTCCCCATGTCCCGTGCCTGATTCCATTACAGGGGTAATTCTTTTATGGTTATAAAACAGGCTCTGGGGAGTACGTAGATGAGAAGTCGCCGGTTAAGTAAAGGGGTTCTCGCTTCTCGTGGGTGTATAGTGTGGTGGTGGTGGTGGTAGATGTGGGCAATGTTGGTGTGGTGGCGGTAGGCGTATGACATGCTTCTTACGTGATGGACAGGTGATGGGCATTTTGTAGCTAACCACAGTTCCCGTGTTATTATCGCGGCGCATCTATTATATCCGGCGGTTAAGGCAGGTCGGGGTGATTCATTTTTGATTATGGTTATATGAAAGGCAACGTTATAAATATTCTTAAATCAACCTGCTCTTTCCCACGCTGTTTAGAGTTCACAATTACTGGCCAAACAGTTCGTGCCCCGCATCTTTGGTGGGACCTTTTGCGAGGGTAGTCGGCACTTCAAACGATTTGACTAGATTGAGACCCTGCTACGAGGATAGAAAATATGAAATCCGCGGAGTGGGGGAAGGAATGGGGATCGAAGAGCAGCTGTAGAGGGGGAAAGAGATCGCCCCCCCTTACTGCCAGCGCACTTTGGAACTTCAGATGAATGGACGTGCCTGCGTTTTCCACTTGAATGAGTTGAAAAAAACAGTGTTGGGACAAATGGATGGAATGGAGTACAAATAAATTGCCAGCTTTAATCTATACCAATCAGAACTTCCGAAACCTCGTATATTAAGGAAATGAAAAAAAGGTGTGACTAAAATTGGTAGAAGCAAATTCTAAATTATCAATATGCCATCATGAATTTTGGTGGGCACCTAACTTGGGTGTTAACTTGATCTGATACTTTTAAAACTTCACTGTACAATGAAATTCGCATCCGAGTGGAAACCATCGATAGCATTGCTGGGCTATTTTTATCGCTGGAAAAAAATCTTTCAGCGTAATAAAAATTTACGATAGAAATTTAAGTTCTTAATACCTCTGACTGCAGTTAAAAAAAAAACCGGGTTGTTATTTAAATGCAAAGCTATATTAGTATAATATGATCGAACGCTATAAAAATACTAAGTAAACACACTAGCCTGTGAAAATCGCAGAATGCAGAAGAAAATAGACTTGCTTCCAACAAGTGGAAATCGGGGAAACGCAGTCAGAGGGTTAATCATACTGTATCTTTATCACCATGCATGCCCCCGAAATCGGCGCCGGGCGGCACCCCGGTCTGTTGGATACGTATGCGGGAAATTTATTTAAAACCCCCCCCCCCCGCCAAAAATACTGCCAGCACAATTTTAAAAAGACAGGAACCTAAAGTTTGTAGAAAGAAGCGTAGAACAAATAAAGCCTCCATGACAAGGTTCGGACCTTCAACCGTGCGATTTGAAACTGGGCGCCTTATCCATTAGGCTACACGGATAGTTACTAGGTTTATCCTCTCGTTTTTAACGTGAAAGAATATCGATGTTCATTCTGTTTATTTAAGTGTAATTATATCATAATGGTTTGGTCATTAATTACGAGTTTTTGATAGAACTGATAACTTCTTTGGTGCAATTTGTTATTTTTAATTCGGAAAAAATATATACATCGAGGATGCGTTAAGGGAAGTGATATGTATTTCGTAATAATTAGACATATATAGTTATAAAAAAGGGGGGAATGAACATGCTACATAGGACATGTTTCTGTAATATTTATTTCCAAATCGTTGCGATTTTCAAAATTTTCTTGAAATGTTATGCACAGTAGTGGGCTTAATGATAATGTTGTTTGTCTTGACACATACTATCACCTCTAAAAGTTTATGGATGGAGTTCCGGACCACACTCTAATCAGTTAATGATACAATATAAAGTTTCATCTTACCAACCAACTTCTTGAGAGGAAAATTTCTGAAACAAGCAGAAAAAAGGACTGCTGGAGGGGAACAAAATTACATACTCCTAAAGACAGATAATAATTGTACACATATAGCCAAAAGTGAAAAATGACGGTAATTGCGCGCGCTTCTTAAACATTGTCGTAATTTTTTCTAACTTTATTTCTTTCTACATATTAATTCTTTTGTTCTTTTAATTTTATTGTATGCTAATTAAAATATTTTTTTTGTTCAAGTTTTAAATTTTGCTTCCTTTTAAAAAAACTTTAAAAAAATTAAATATGCTATATTTTTTCTTGTTGATTGTTTACATACACCTAAAGTATTTTTTAGGAAGCATAGGCGGTTTAGATCAGGGGAAAACTTCTGATTTTCTTATTAACCCTTTGCGGACCGGTAACTTTTTAGAGCACTCAGGCCAGGTTGGCGCACTTTATACGCCATCCCAGTTTTTTCCAACTCTGTGCTTATTTACCTTTATAAAACTTTTTTTACAGTGTAATAAGATTAGGAGTTTGAATGGATGGATAATATAAACATTATGTCCGAATTTCAGCCGCTATCCTCTTCTTTAATTGGATTTCCTACACCTCAATCTCAAAATCGGTGAACTGTGGCGCACATTATACGTCGTACCTGTACGCATAGGATTAAAAGATATTCATGAGTCAAGTACGTTGGACCGACCGAGTAGTGACATGGAAATATGATACACTTTTGGGCCTTATTTGGGACAAGATGTTGTTCAAGGTTTCATTGTCATCAGCTGTTAAAGGCTAAGTGTGGCAATTAGTTTGCCATTGTTAATGGAAAATCAAGTTGATATACCGGGTGGCTTGAAGTACAGCATCCGTATTGAATGCATGGCACAGAGAAAAAAAAGAGTGGTCATAACAACGGCAAATCTGGATGGCTTGCGTTTCAGAAGGTGGGGAAATGAATGAGGTAAAAAGGTTGAAGAAATGAATGATTGGGGACATAGGGGTACTGTTACTAGTAAGTGCATAATTCATGTGTCACCGAATAATAATAATTCGTTCATAGTCGTGTTACAGATTAATTACAAATTGTAAATGGTGAACAAATTGTAATGACAGGGAAGTAAATGCCGTGACGAATATTCGAATGATTATTTAATTAATGTTTACAGGTAAAATAGCCCCATAAATAAGATTTAAAAAATTGGTATTTTTTATTAATTATTTCTTCTTTCAGTAATTAGTTGCTCAGACTTTAAAAAAATCACCTGATTTCACGAAGTTTTCTTTAATTATAAAATGACGTTTATAAATAAGCAATGGATACAAAGTTAATTTTTCGTTTTTAACGAAGAGTAATTTTTGTAATTCAAGAATGCTGCAAAAACCATCGAATCCGTATATCTAAAAGAATAATAAGAATAATTGTTAATAATAACAGAAAAATTCGTAAAAATTTGCAATCTACTGAAAAATGAATTCCAAAATCTTTTCTGAAAAAGGAAGGGAATTTGCGAATCGAAGATCTCTAACTTTGAAATAAAATCTACAAACTCAAAGAACTGTTGAAAATCAATAAATTACTCAGTTTCTACTATAAGCCGAAAAATAAATAGTAATTTGAATCTGAAAAAAACCTAAAATATTCAGTTTTCATCGTTTATAGTAGTGTAGATTATGTGTTTCGATTATTGAAAAGAGCAATGCACGTTTAGATAAAAACTATTAATGAAGTATGGGAGTCTGTGGAGAAAGAGCGGAAAAAAACCTCCTATATTTATTTTACAAATATTATTATCGAAATTAAGATGGAGAAATATAGTTCAGAACAAGTGTAATTTGATTTAACATTTAAAGTGCGATAATTTTATATAAAAATCTGATTTATATTATTCCAAAATCAGCCAAAATATGTGGGAACAAAATCTGCAGTCTAAGTTTTTATGGCTCTTTTTATAGATTGTACGATTTGCAGTAAATGTCGGTTATTAATCTAACAACATGGTTTTAATGGATATCATAAAAAATTGTAAGACTGTCCATTTTCTTTACAAAATCTGTCTATCAATTTTCAACTTCTGTACAGCATTCCAAACTTAAGAATTTAGATGAGTTCGACAGATCTTTCTGTGTCAAATTATATAACAAATACCTGAAATAGTTGTGCTGGGAAATGTAATCAGATTATTTTGATGCTGTTATATAAACTATTACATTCAATCACTACAGTTAAGATACGTCCAAAGTCTGAGATTTACTTTCTTAGGGTCAATGGGTTGAAAATAGTAAATCAGCAGGTGTCAAAAGAAAATTTTAAGTGGATGTTTTGTTCAGCACTTCTCTATCTGCTAAAAAATTCTTTGAATTTTTCCGTTTAACCGCACCACTCAGTGATCTTCTTTGCATAATCTGATTTAAACATTTACGTCATTCTGAGTATCGGGGAAAAAATCTTGGTAACACCATTCCTCCCTTTCAAGAACCATGCTTCTGAAAGCCGGACAAAATGCAAGAACAAATAAAAAATAATAAGAATCTGAAGAATGCTTAATTGAGGGCATCAGCGGCTTGCTCCTTAAAATTCTTTTGATTTTTCTTCAAGCGGGCTTGTGATTCTTGTTACTAATTAGTTGGAAGAAAATGATTTTGTTTATTTGAGCCAGTTATTTTTATTTGTGAAGTATGGAGCGATTTCACAGGATTTATTTTTTCGACATTTACTTCAGTGGGAGTCACTTCTGATCTCGTAACTATTTGCAACATTTGAGCAATTTGAAACTGTTAACAAAAAAAAACGTTTTTATTATTTATAAAACTATTATGCAGATAAATAGGTGATGGAATTATTTGAGTTATTCGCTGTCATATTGCTTTCACTTATTCAGGGCCATCTTATCCAAAGAGCTAATTGGGCTATAGCCCAGGGGCGTCATTGATCTGAAGGTGCCTAAAAATTTACGATACTAATTTTATTTTAATTTTCAACCAAAATTTATGTTTCAATAATTTTTAATATGTTAAAAGTAAAGATATGATTCGGAGATGTAATTAGAGAGTAATTAATGTTGTAATGTTACATAAACTTGTATATATCATTTCAAATGATGTTCATGTAGTGACAATCGGTGAGAAAAATACTAAATTCTGCGTGCAAAAGAAGTTACCTACAATACGGAAGCTTATTTGTAAAATCCTGTTTTGAAAAGACGCTGATTTGCAAAATTGTAATTGTTGTTGTCAGAGAACGGGTTAACTTTTTACTTACTATATTTTATCATATTTGTTTATTTACATTTTGATCATCAATTATTGTATTACCTACAATACGGAAGCTTATTTGTAAAATTCTGTTTTGAGAAGACGCTGATTTGCAAAATTGTAAAGCGTTAATCAGAGAACGGATTAGCTTTTTACTTACTATATTTTTTCATATTTGTTTATTTATATTTTGATCATCAATTATTGTATTAGTTAGGTATTTTCGTTGGGCCACAGGCTCTCAATTTCTTAGTTACGGTTCTAACGGGGCCTCAAATTACTCTAGCCCAGGGCATTCAAATTTGTTAAGACGGCCCTGCTCGTATTCGAAGTTTACAAAGATGTAAGTATCAAAAAAAATTCGATCTCTAGATTTTGATGAATTTCCCCATTTTAGACGATCATTTTTAACAAATAAAATGTAACGTACCTTTTTTTGCTAAAGTCACAGAGATATTTAATGCGGAAATTCTCATTTACTACCACTGGAACATAAACAGAATGTTACGAATACGTTGTTACATCATCGTGTTTTTTGACCACAACTTGAAATTTAAAAGGAATGCTATCAACTTATTGTCGGATAATACCTACAAAAGTTTTTGCCCACTCGCAATGGACGTGTATTCCGATGAGGAAATGCAAAACTCCTCATTCCAAAACATATAAGTTTTTCTCGATTACGTTAAGGCCAGGTGAATTAGCTGACAAATTAAAGTATAGGGCACAATTTCACGCTCTGGGGACATCCTAAACATATCTTGCGTGATTCACGGCATAAATGTTCTAGTAAGTCACTGATTCGATGATAAGGCCCTCAGCACGTAGAAAATCCATATAAATAAGGTTATTACAGTCAAAAGGAGAACACAAATAGATTGACGAAAAAATATCGTAAATAAAACAAACATTTCATTCATTGCAACAATAATACAGAATGCCCTATTATATGATAAATAAATGCATTATTAAGCATTTGTAACATTTTATATTGCAATCATTCTTACATGCCTATTAATTATTATCTAAATTAATACTTATCCATTGAATGAATATTTTTGTCAATGTATCATCTTCTAACAATATTTTTGAAATTCTGTACAAGAAATATCCATCATATTGAATTTTACAGCAAATATCAAAAAGGAGCACATGTAGAAGGACACTTTTCGAGGCAGGACAGAACTTACAAAAGGAGGACTGTCCTCTCCAAAGGAGGACGGTTGGTCACTTTAATATAAAGGATGGCGTGATCGTCCAGTTAAGAGATGTAGTCCTCAGCCTTTAACAGAGTATTGAATT